GAGGCTTGCAAGAGGCGCGAACTCAGGCGGCCCCGCGGCGACGGCTCCGTCATGACGCGCGAAACGACCTGCCGCCAAAAATACCCTAGAGCGCAAGAAAGGCTAGCAGGCGCCAATACCAGTATTAATATATCGCACGCGACGCTTGATCACGCACGGGGCGCGGTCCGCACGCAGTCATCGATGAAAGGCAATTCGCTTCCCTATATCTAGCACCGCTCAATCCTGCGTCAGGACACGCGAGCAACAGTGTTCCCGCCATTCTTCTGGTTGACGATCTTCCAAGTGCCAGGGTGGACGCACACTATTGAAGTATCCACACTATTTCCGTGCACGCGGCATCTGCCACCTTTTGCTATGCCCACTACTATGCCGAAATTAGTTCTCGATACTATTCTCGTTCGGTAAGACTATCTCCGTGTACGTGGCGTATGCCACCTTGCAATTGCTCGCGCAATCCGGTGGACGATGGCGGCAACCGACGTGGCCTTCTACCTTGTCGTCTCCAATATCGCGGGGCGCAAGAACCTCGGGACGTATCTCCGCACGGCGACGGCCTTTGGCGTCCGGCAGCTCATCATCGGTACGCTCGCTGCCTCCTCAAATTCGCCTCAGAGTGCTCTCTAGTCGGCTCGGACCGCTTCGGGACGCACGGCGCCCACAACGCCCACAAGTACGTCGATGTCGTGCTCATGCACACGTTTGCCGACGCTGCAGCGTACCTCGCGTCGCTGCACTGCGCGTCAGTACTCGGCCTCCAGCCGCCCGCCCACGAATTGCCCTCCACCTGTACGTCGCCCATCATCATTGCAACAACCGAGACGCTCATCGACGAGCCTAGGCATTGACGATGCAGTCTTCATGGGCCCGACGGCCTTTGTCTTGGGCAACGAAGGCGGCGGCCTCTCGGAGGACCAGCGCGCGATCTGCACCGGATTCCTCCGCGTCGACCACTACCCGACGCTGGCACCGACCGTGCCGTTCAGCATCGACCTTACCGTGCAGCTAGCGATCGTCCTGCAGACGTTCACGAGCAGCACCAACGTGTACGTCGAGCGCGCGATCCAGGACACGTCGACGCGCGGCAAGTTTGAGCTCAGCGAGCTCGCTCCGACGACGCCTGCGCAAAAGCAGCAGATCGTCGCCGCGCGCCTCGCCAAGAAGGCGCAGGTCGAGAGCGTCATGGACGGCGCGCTCTCCTTTGACGCGATGCTCGACGACTACTAGTGCAACGGCCTCCTCCTTCCTCTTTGACTTCTCGGCTATTGAAAAGGCGTCAATTATTGTGGAATAAATAGTACGTGGCAATCAGAGCTGGTGGCGCTTCCCCAAACGCTCCTTGAGGAGGTTGGCGCAGATGCGGCAGCAGACCACGTTCTTGTTGCGGTAGTCATCGCCGTCATTGTCGTCGTGGCGGTCGAACGACGCCGGGAGCGCATCGCGGACAGGCGCGGGGCCCGTGCACTTGGAGCAAAAGAGCCAGCCGCAGTGGTAGCAGTTCTGGGCCTCGTTCTTGAAGAGGAAGCGGAGCCAGCGCCAGCATTTCGCGCGCTGCGTGAGGTGGCGGCCGCAGTCCATGCACTGGTGCTGGGCCTGGATGCGCACGTACGGCTGCGCGTGCGTGAGGTGGGCGAGGATGCTCGTGAGCGCGCTGCTGGACGCGACCTTGGAGAGCGGGAGCCCGACGTTGTTGGTCGTGTTGATGTTGGCGCCGTACGCGACGAGGACGCTCGCGACCGTCGGCATCTGCTGGGCCACAGCCACGTGCAAGAGCGACTCGCCGTCAATCTCCGACTCGACGTCGGCGCCTTCGTGCAGCAGCATCTTGAGGATCGTCGCGTCGTCCTTCCGAAGCGTCATGAGGTGCACGACGATCGGCGTAAAGCCCTTGTTGTTGCGCGCGTGGACGTTGGCGCCAGCGGCCACGAGGAGCGAGACCATGTGGTAGGCGACCGACGACGAGATGCGCCGGGAGGTCCCGACGGCAAAGTGCAGCGGCGTGTTGCCATGGTCGTCTTCGAGCTCGAGCGTCTCGTCCGAGCGCACGAGCGCCTCGAGCACGCGGATGTCGCCGCGGCGGATCGCAATGTGGATCGGCGCCTGGCCGTGCACGGGTTCGCGGAAGCTCAGCACCGAGTTGGAGTTGGAGCTCCAGGATGCCGTCGAGCCAAAGCTGTTGTTGATGTTGCTCTCGCCCGTCGCCGGCGAGTGCAGATTGGTGCGCGGAGACGCCTGGATGTTGTAGCCGCGCTTGTTGAAGAGGCCGAGGAGACTCTTCTGCACGGCCGGCGAGTCCATCGACATGTACGAGTGGCGGTCCGTCTCGAAGGCGTCGTCGTCCTGGAGCGACGACGACGGGCGGGACACGGTGTAGTCCAGCACAGCGGGCATGGTGGCAAATTGCACTCTGGCTACTGCATCGAAATTAGTGCTGCCTTTCTGGTCGACATTTAAATGACTTGGAGTTTGTATGTGCGCGCTGGCGTGGCCCACGTGGTTTCAGCGCACAAGTGGAATCAACCAATGAAAACGTTGGCATTTTCGACCATCCAATCAACGCGCGCGCTGTCGGAGGTAACCGAGTGCGTCGCGCTGGGAGAGCCGTCGAAATTTGGAAGTTGGAGCGCCGCCCCATCAAGCCAACGAAGCGAGCGGCGATCGACGATGGCGAACACCCTTCAGCTATCACCACGCCGCCATGGTACCGGTACTATGGCTTGGAATCGATGAAGCCATTTCTCAAGAGCTGCTCAAAGAGGCCGGAGGGTCCGAATCTGTCTGCGCCTGTCCAAACATACGCCGTTGCAGTCCACCGCGATTCGTATTGCGAGGGTGGGCAACCGAGATGGACGAAGCAAGAGTCGTGGGCGTTGAGCACTGGTTTCTCCAAGCTCTGGTCGCAGTGAGAAAGCCTGTATTTCTTGGGGTCGCCACACGTCAAGCCACATGGTTGAAGTGCATACATGCAACCCAGCAGAGCCAGCAGTCGAGGGCATGAGGCCATGCAGTCACCGCCGATCCAGACGAGAGAAAGCCCAGCGAGCATCGCAATGCGTTCGTGAGCAACGCAACATAACGTTTCCAACAGTTCCATCGGCTATCGGTAGCCATGGGACGGAGCTGGGAAATCGCACCCGTGGGAAAGACCAGCGCTGGATCCTTGTGACGAGGACCGTGCCTCGGGTTCGAATCCTCCGCGTCGAAAAGCTGCATCTTCCACGTTGCAGCAATGCTATCTGCGAGCCTGTCTACGCCGTCCATCGATTCTTGACGCCCTCAAAGCGATGAAATGTTTCATTCCGACGCCGACCAGAGCTAGTCCACTCTTGTCTTCAACGAACCGAGCAAGCGTCTAAAGTTTCAAAGACCGCAGCGCCAACGTGTTGGAGTCCTTGTCACATGCTGTCACCACGGCCAGCAAAAGCTTTGTCGCCGACGGCGCTGGTGCGGCGACTGGTCCGTGCCGACCCCACTCGTATGCAACAGTGTTCGATCCCATGACGCGCAGGCTCGGCTTCAAAGACGCCATAACGAGTAGCTTTGGCGGGTAGCCGCGCACATGCGTGCGTAAAGCTTCCACGGGGCTCGTCGACATGTAGTAGATGCGTTGGAGGGGATGCGGAGAGCAGAGAGATACATGACTAACGTACGCTAACAAGGGAATCGCGGTCCTCGAACGCTCGAGACCACAGTACAAGGCGCAGGCATGCGGCGCAGGTCCGACCGATTCGCCCAGCGATGATAGAAAGCTACCATCAGTTTGATTGCAAGCTTCCCATTTTGGCTCAGATACGAAAGATACATGACTAACGTACGCTAACAAGGGAATCGCGGTCCTCGAACGCTCAAGACCACAGTACAAGGCGCGGGCATGAGGCGCAGGTCCGACCGATTCGCCCAGCGATGATAGAAAGCTACCATCAGTTTGATTACAAGCTTCCCATTTGGCTCAGATACGAAACGCACCTGAAAAACAAAAAAGGTGCTCTTTTACACGCGCACCTGATGTAACACTATATCAATAAATACACCAACTCCGTGGTTTCTTTGTGGAAGGATTTCAGAAGAAGATATCGGCGACGATGGACGCAGTCCCGGAGCGCTTCGCCGGCCTTGAGGAGGACTACATCGACTGCAAGCGCACGATCAACAACTGCATACATGACCTGACCCAGACCGACCGTACGTCCGAGCTCTCTTCGCTTCTAACGACTGCTGTGGCGAGCTAGAGAAGAACGCGGCGCGGCAGTTGGCGCAGGCCACGATCGTCGAGGCGCAGCGCTGCCTCAAGCTCATGGCGGTCGAGATCCGCGGCCGGTCGCCCACCCTGCGCAAGGAGATGCAAGCCAAGATCAACGTCTACCGCGACGAAATCGCCGGCTTCCAGCGCGACCTGGAGCGGGCCATGCTCCTGGTCAAGGCGACGCCGCCGTCCGCAACCGCCTCGAGCGCCAACGACGCGGTATGTCGTGGTCCTTGCAATACCTAAATGGATGTTGCGTCTAGGCGCGCTACGACCGCATCGTGACCAACACCAATCGCCTGCAGCGGTGGGCTCGTTGGCGTGCATGTCGGAAGCTGACGAGGCGCATAGGTCGTCGGACCAGCTCGAGCAGTCGAAGCGTATCGTGGCCGAGACGGAGCAGATCGGTATCACTGTCATGGACACGCTCGCCCAGCAGCGCGAGACGCTCCTCTCGACCCACGACAAGGTGCGCGAGACGCGGGAGCTCACGGGCGACGCCCGGCGCGTGCTCTTGCGCATGAGCCAGCGCGTGCTCACGAACAAGATCACGCTCTGGTTCGTCATCGTCGTGCTCGTCATTTCGATCTGCCTTGTGTTTTACCACGACTTTATCCACCCCATCTCGATGGCGCTGGGCGATTAAGCTTCTGCAAACATCTTGACGGATCTTGTATACTCCTTTCGCCACATGTAAATCTGGTGTGGAGGTCTAAAAGATAGCATTCAAGAGCCAACTCAATGTACTCACCGCTCCATTTCGCAGGCAGGTGTTGTCCGTCGTTCCCACCGCCCACGTGGCTTGCGACACGAAGTCGATGGCTCTCGTGGGCCGCTCCTCGGCTCAGCCAGTTGAGGCTGCAAAGCGCTGGAGGCTCTTGAAGAGGGGCGTCAGTACGGTCCAAACAGTGTGCGAATACCGACGCAGCCAGCACCGGTACAGTGCGAACACAACTTGGAGACTCAGCAATCGGCCGTGAATTCACTGCCACTTAGAGAGCGTTGAAGCAAGCAGACTCCTTCGACCGGCGTCTTCGACCGGCGTTATCTCACAAAGTGCAATCTCGCAAAGTGCCATCTCGCCTCCGATATGCAAGGAACATCATCTTGAAGAGTAATGTCATTTGGTTGCGTGTGACGATTCCGAGCGAGTTGGGGCCGAATTCGCTTAGCCAAGTACATGATTCGAACTACACGTGGCGTCAGCTAGCATATGCCCATCTCCGACCAGCCAATCAGGCGCGTACGAGTTCTTATCGCACCATGTCTCTTTGTCGCACTCTCCGATTCAGCGACCATGGCCTGCAGCGCCCTCTCGCGCTACTGGACGATCAATGTGCCTGCCAAGACGATGGCCGAGGAGGTGGCCGAGGCCCACCTCTTCCTCTGGCCCCTGCGCCACGACCGGTTCGCCGTCGCCGCGTGCCTCCGCTTTAGCCGCTGGCACCTCTTCTTCGCCGTGCTTCTGACGCAGTTCATCACAGGCTCCATCTACTCGCTCGTGAGTCTCTCGCA